AGGAGAGAATCTGTTTCTTGTATCGCCAAATTTATCTCACCCAGAGAATAATAATTTTCCATCGCATCAAGAATTTTGTTAATTTGATTGTAAAGTAGTTCTTCGCTTTGTGTTAAATCTGATTGATTAACCTGTAAAGTAAAGAAGGGACAGTCGATAAATCTAAAGTGAACCCGATGCAAAGGCGCCAGTGTTTTACCTTTAGACGTCCTGCACGCTTGTCTTTAGATTTTTGCCACTCGTATTATATTAAAGTAGAACGCATTTTCTGGGGGTAAATATTCACCATGCAACATGTCTGTCAGACTGCCTTTAAAATGCGTGCTCCTGCTTCAAGGGAAAAACCGCCGCTGGGAGTAAAGTGTCCTGCCAATAACCTCTTAGGCCGAAGGTCTCCACTTTCTATGCTAGAGATTCTGGAAGGCGGAAAAAGGTGGGCGTTCTCTCTGTTTGTTACGGCGATACAGTCTTCTTTTTCCCTAGGAAATACAGGGCTTTGGCCTGAAATATTAATTACAGTATTTACTGGTAACTTGACCTACAGGTTATAGCTGCATCAGTGACAATAGGTTTCTGTGTTTTTGTAAGAATACTGCAAGTGTAGCGTAGAAGTCATCCCGACATTTTTTTTTAAACCCAAACCATGCATACCTTGATCGACAACCCTATTTCTCTTGCGACTTCCGCGACATTGACAATGTCAACTTTAAGACGAACAACATTTTCTCCGAACAAGGGAGAAATATGAACTACGGTGAAGGACTGTACCCCATACGACAACATATCGTATTCCCCATGGTCTGATGCATGGTAGAATTCATATGTGAGAGGAACTCTGCTATCATCCCATCCATGACAGGATATGTTGAGCCAAACGCCAACAGCGGTCTCCATAGTAAGTTGCGTGACATGACATGTTCCACCCGATGGGCCACCTAATGTGTCAAACTGGTAGGCTGCCCATCCGTATGAACCATTTGGTAACAGAGCATCTACTGTGATTCGGTATGACCAACCAGGTACAAACATTTGCTGCTTGACTACCAGGTATTGGGAATCCTCTTGCGTAGCCAAGAAATTTAAAAAATTTGTATGGGGAATCCATTTGGAATATAGAAGACTAGCATTTCTTCTTAACATTTTCCATCGATATTTAAGGGACTTGGGACAACTAGCAGTGATGCAGTCAGTTCGGACGGAGATACCAGATGATGTTCTGGCTGGTGATAAACAGTTTAGGACGCACCTGAAAGAAATATATCAANCCCTAGGAAATACAGGGCTTTGGCCTGAAATATTAATTGCAGTATTTACTGATAACTTGGCCTACAGGTTATAGCTGCATCAGTGACAATAGGTTTCTGTGTTTTTGCAAGTGTAGTTTATAAGTCATCCCAACATTTGTTTTTAACCCAAACCACGCATACCTTGATCGACATCTCTATTTCTCTTGCTACTCCCGCGACATTGACAATGTCAACTTTAAGACGAACAACATTTTCTCCGCACAAGGGAGAAATATGAACTACGGTGAAGGACTGTACTCCATACGACAACATATCGTATTCCCCATGGTCTGATGCATGGTAGAATTCATATGTAAGAGGAACTCTGCTATCATCCCATCCATGACAGGATACGTTGAGCCAAATGCCAACAGCAGTATTCATATTAAGTTGCGTGACATGACATGTTCCACCTGATGGGGCACCTAATGTGTCAAACTGGTAGGCTGCCCATCCGTATGAACCATTTGGTAACAGGGCATCTACTGTGATTCGGTATGACCAACCAGGTAAGAGCATTTGCTGCTTGACAACCAGGTTTTGGGAATCCTCTTGCGTAGCCAAGAAATTTGAAAAATTTGCATGGGGAATCCATTTGGAATATAGAAGACTAGTATTTTTTCTTAACATTTTCCATCGATATTTAAGGGATTTGGGACAACTAGCAGTGATGCAGTCAGTTCTGACGGAGATACCAGATGATGTTCTGGCTGGTGATAAACAGTTTAGGACGCACCTGAAAGAAATATATCAAAGACAATTGAAGACAAAATTCCTTCCTCGCATTGTGCACTACACCGGTATAGACCATTTTACAGTTTCCTGTTCAGTGACCTGGCCTTTGAATGGCAGAGAGGCTGGAGGTGACCTTGTTTTGATACAAACCTCACTTCTTTTGTTGCGTAAAACAAGTTGTTCTAATGCAAACTAGGTGCATTTACGTGACAAAAGCAGTGAGGTCTGTATCAAAGCAAGGTCACCTGCAGCCTCGCTGCCATTTAAAGACCAGGTGACCGAGCAAAGAACTGTAAAATGGTCTATTACTCGGTGAAATCTCCCACACCACACTGGGACAGGGTCAAAATTTGTTTCATTAGAGGCCATGTTGTTGCCAACCTTCCACCCATAAATTCTTAATACCTTTGTGTTAGGAGATCAGCTTACAATGTATGTCATGAATGTGCTTTGAAGTTTTTATTCAGTTTGATGGAGGTTCTTTTTAGTGGACCCACGTAGCCACTTTGTCATTTGGATTACCTTTCTTAACCGTTTGCATGCACAAGGGATGCACAAAACAAAGACACGTCCATTTGGTGGTTTTGGGAATTTACTAGCACAAGAGGCTCACTCCAAGGGTCCCAGGCCATGTTAAACTTACATTATGCGAATGTCTACGAGCTCTCCATCATGGATGTGGACAATCTGCATCGCTGTGCATCAATGCGGTGGTACTCGAATTGAAATGGATATCCATTTTTCGTTATAACTTAATAGGTCTGTCATAATCTTGGTCACAAAGTTCTAACCTGTTGTGGTAGAAGCTGGTCTGCGTGGAAATATAAACCATCTAGACTGGATTAACCAAGTGCAGTAAATTCCTAACAATGGTTTAGCTCGTTGCTTCACTCTACTAAATTGATTTACGTCCTTCCATTTCAACTGGTATCATGGCAAATTCAAGGTTTACCCACCGGGATTTTGGCACGCATCAACCTTCGGACGTTCAGGATAGAAGTATTTGCACCAGCAGTCACAGGAATTGGGTGACGTTTGGATGCAGCGTGAATATTTAGGACAAGCTGATGATGTAGAAGAGTATTATGCTAAATTAGTTGGCACTTAACATTGCCCGGAAGATCAGTAATGAGAATAGGGAGAATCTTCAATGGGAGATAGTTGTCGCAATGTACTTCAAGCTGGAAAGAAAAACGTAAACTCCAGAGTAATCTGGAGTCCTGGAAATCAACCCAATTATTTCTTTCCCGATCCCAGCGTCAGAAAACTGCGGACCTTGCGAGGTAAAAAAATTTATTTGAACCGCGGTGGGATTCGAAATCATGACGACTGAACTACGAGGCTGGACGGGAGCTGCTCGTTGCAAGATGTATCATATTGTCTATGTGAATGCTGCGAAACAAATTGAGATGACACTAATTCTGCCAATAATATGGACGTTTTAGACAAAATGCGGTCGATGCTAATTCATTTGTGAATTTCACAGTGCTGGACTACTGCTAATTAA